ATAACAACACGATACGAATGAATACAAATATTTGTAGGATTTGCAAACAGTATAAAAATGACATTTATAACAGCTTTAAGAAATTAAATAACACAACAATCGATATATGTACGCTCTCCAAGAGCTCGTAAATAAAACAGAAACAGATAGGAAGAAGAGAGACAGAGAGAGAGAGAGAGAGAAAGAGAGAAAGAGAAAGAGAGAGACAGAGAGAGAGAGAGAGAGAGAGAGAAAAGAAAAGAAAAGAAAAGAAAAGAAAACATATTCGACTGTGGCTCAAATTTCTTTTACACAGAATTTTTAACTTAGAATTGCTCAAGACGAGCGGAAGATGTATATAAAACCCATACTCTATAATATTGGTTATATAATGATAGCTACGAGGGAGCGGCTTTTCAACTATAGCACGAGTACTGTAACGTCGTGCGTATAATATATGTCAATGCATTCTTTGTAGTTGCATCTGTTGCTGTTGCTTATTAACAAAGAACACGGAGGTGTGTTTAACTTATGTTGCATTGTATGCATTGCATTACATCAATCTGTGCGCATGAATTCCCGACGTTTTAATTACATTTAAAATGAATATCTTTACTTTTCGCGATAGGGAAAATGTCTACCAAACACTGAAATACACACGGATAGACAAACGATTAATCACATTTAAATCAAAACAAAATTTGATATTGATCAAGCATGTATGTATACACATATATGCTTTACAAAAGCTTTACAAAATTTCGTCCAAGGTGTTGCAATATATGTTTCGATCATATCAATATATCGCCGCGCCGCCCTATTCCTCGATAATAGATATAAAAATAAAGAAAGCGGATTTTAAACGATTCAATTTCATATTTAGCTGTGTACTTTGATGCGTGAGCATCAATTATTTCCTTTGAAATCAAATACTTAAAAATTTCATCATTTTTCGCCTTTCCATTATAATTATGTTTTTTTGAAATTTCAATTCATTTGTAAAAATTTTAAAATATTTTTTTTTTTTCTCTTTTTTTTATACTTTAAGTGTATGTGAATTTTAAAATCCTATTATACGCCTGCATTTACTTGTAGATTTATGCCAATTTCAATGCGTTATGAAGCACTTTTGTTGTCATTCAAGTGCACGTATTGAGCACTGAAGCAAAAACGAAAGCATCAAGAACTTAGGTGTTCTTCACTGTAGAAATATATAAAATAAATTTACAATCTATGCGAAGGAAACACATCTAAATATTTCACATATGAGGGGAGGTTTGTGTTAAGTAAGTTATGCAGGGAAGTAAAAACAAGTAAGAAATTTATTGTTCAGTTGTGATCGAATTTATCATACCCTTCACCGTTATTCTAATGTGAAAACTTAATATCGCATATCTGTTGCAGCTTATGACCAACTATTAAGCGAGAGGGTTCTTGTTTCTTGTTTCATTCATTTTTAAGTTCTCTTGCAAGTTTGTCAGCGAACGGGAAAAAGTTTAACACGGACGCTACACAGTTGCGCAGACGGACAGGTAGACACAGGATCATGCTTAAGTTGATTCAGAATTTGGTACTGATCATACTGATATATATATATATATATATGTATTGTTTGTGGGATCTCTAAGATTCATTTTGGGCATTGCAAACGTTTTGGTAAAATGAATATACCCCTCGCCTCACGATGATGGGTATCAAAAAAATGCGATCACACTAGATTTTTAGGTAGTTAAGTGATGATACACATGGGGAATAGGTTTCATGGTGGCACTTATATGGGAGGCAGACCAAAACGTAAACTGACTTGGTCCAAATTTGTGAAAACTAATTCTGTTATCAAAATATTTTTTTATGCTTCATCTGCCATATCTTCTTTGTTGCCATATAAAGGCTTAGTTTTCATGAGAAATCTTTATATGAACTACTCTTTAGCAAATAGATTTATCTGATCCAGATTTATTGCAGTTAATTTAGATATTTCATTATAATTATGGACTAATTTTGATCATAATATATTAATAATTAGAGGATTTTGGCCTACTTGTTAGCGGAACGATTTTATACATGAATCGAATTTAACGCAATTAATTTCATTGCCAGACTGTTTTTAAAGACTAATTATATTAAGTGGGAAATAAAATTAAAAAAAAAAAAATTAAGGCATTTTGCCATATATAAAGGCACACTATGCGTAGAAGCAACATTGGCCCGTCTACTTTAAATTTTTCCTAACTAATTATTAAGCCGCAACTATTCCTCACCGATCTTTGGGAAGAAATTTTAAAAATTGCACTTTTCTGATCATAAGAATGCTGGACTTTAATTCACATATATATACACACACACACACACAAATACATAGATATTTATCGGGCGAGACGAATTACGGAACGACAAACCGAGATCGGTATAATAATAAAAGGTGAGTTTGTTTCAAGTTGCTGCGTCTATTGCAAATGCCGCTCCATCAATCTTACTATATATTCTGTATTATAAGTGGCGTACGGCATAAAAATTTAGACGCATGACGCCATTGCAGTTTTCTGATATATCGTAAAGAACATTGTGATGATATTAGACTATTCTGATAAATTTTAACGTCCTTCAATCAACATTAGAATTACGAACATTTTACATATACGTATTTCAACCATTACGGGTCTCGTGGAAACATAAAAATGAAGATAGGAAATTGAAAGTGGGCGGAAACATGCCTTCTGTGACTTTCTCGGAAAAATACCGAAAATTTTTTTAATATTTTTATGTATAACTTTCTCCGCTACTCAAGTATTTGTTAGAACCAATAGAGCCAAAATGATATCACACATATAACGATATATATATTGGGAGATCTCTTCTACCTAATTGTGAGTGTTGCAAAAGGAGTAAAAATATTAATAAATTTTTAAGCCGTATAGGGTGCTTGATTAAAATTCATTTATATGTCAGGAAATATGATATATTTTTAAACAAAATATTCTCTTATGTGACATAATCTGAATTTAATTATGTTGCAATTCATGTAAATACATTATTAAGATTTTCATATAAAAATTTTTTCACTTACTAAAGGATTATATATATTATTATTATATTATTATTATTATTATTATTATTATAATTATACTAAAGGATTACACATATATTATATTAGATATTTTATTACTATATGTAAAAGTTAATTATGAAAATTAATTATGAAAAATAATTAAGTAGCATAAATAATATATAAAAGAGATAAAGACGAATATTAAAATTTTTTAACGACAACCCCTTACCTATTACTATGCAAACAATTTTATATCAATTTGATGCAAATTTTGCTCTAAAACTCATTTTTACTTACGTCTGCTTTTAACTGATAAGAAGTGAAATGAAATTAACATAATTTCATAAGATATTATTCATAAATTTTTATACATAATGCTGCGAAGTTTGTCATCTGCATATTATATATTATACGCTTGGACAAATGTTGGGGGATCTCCAAATGCAGTATCCATCTATTGTAACGATCTAGTTATCCGTATCTATACATCTATTTTTCTAAGGCTCAAGTGTTGTAAGCTTAAGGCTTCATAAATGTATGCATTAACAGTGAATCTGAGAGTATATGTGAGAACGATATTAATATGATTTTTCGGGCAGGGGAAGAGAAATAAAAAAAATTCACTTATACCATGAACGCGTCAATAAGGGTAAAGCAATCGATCAGTCAAGATGCAAGAAAAAAAAAACCTTAAAAAGCCTTCTAAATGAATTTACATATACCCTAAGGTTTTTGAGGGGACATTGTTTAATGAAAGCAAATGCAGTCGAACGACAGATTTCGTTGGAAGGATGTGGCAAAGGTTACATTTTCTTATTAAATTAAAGTTATAAACATTTTTGTGTGGTTCACTCGGCAATTATCGCCATCCCATCCGCCTGAATGGCCGAGTAGGCAAGACTCTCGATTAGCAACTCAATGGTCGTGGGTTCAAATCTCAAGTGCGGTAGAGTTTTTTAGTAAAGCCGAAAGCCTTAGATGCTAGTGCTTTAAGACTTTAGTCTTGGAATTTATTCTCTGGCAAAATTTATAGTAATAATAATAATAATAATAATAATATCATAAACCGTTAGAATTTAAAATAATTGGCTTAAGCCAAGGTTAAGTAAAGGAAAACCGCGAGAGATGTTTCTTTATTGTTTTCTATTCATTCCTTATTTCTTTTTTTGCGCATTCGTTAAGCATTATCTTTAAGCAATATTTCGAGATGAAAAACGACTCTTACAGAAGACAACATAATACCGTCCTAAGAAAGCTATTCGGATGGGCTAATAGAGCATAGATACAAGTGTACGAGTACGGGTGGCTGTTGAAAATGTATTCTTTTTCGAATATCATACCGTTAGAGGAAAGTGCTAAAATATGAAAAAAAAAAGAATCCCTCTTCGCTTCTATCGATTATCATGCATATGCCCTACGGAGCCTTCTAGCTAGACATTTCTTTCCATTTCAAATGAGATGATATTTTCGATATACCTTTAGGTAGATAGTATAAAAGCGTTTACTTAGTAGTTGGAAATTACCGGAAATAATACCCGTCTGTCCGTAAATGTATGTAAACGGATATTAAACTCTGCAAAATAATTTAATCAGATGCTTGCCCTTACACAAGAAAGGTTGAGACGTATACGTCTATGGATGTGTATGTGTATATGTATATGTATATGTACGTATATTTGTATGAGTATGTATTTAAATAGTACGCTTTAATGCTATCAAGTTGTGTAATTAAGTGTCACTGAAAGGACGCAACACTTGTGATTGGCATAGTTTAGATAACGCTTCAAAAATTATGCAAATTCAAATTATATTCGCAGTAAGGTAGCATAGGTATTAACTTAACTCACTCAGTTAATGCGTGTGAAAATGTAAGAAAGTGCGTATGTTTCGTTTGTCAAAATTTTTGTATGTATGCGTTAGTTTTTGTTGTTTCTGTTGGCATTAATTGTCCTTTGTTTTTTTTTTAACTTACGTGTACAGAACCGTGGCTCGTCACTTCCATCTCCGCAGTCATTCAGATTGTTGCAGTATTTGCTGAGTGGTACACAACGTCCGTTCGAACAACTAAACTCAGAAAGAGCACATTGGCCGGAGAAAGATAAGGATGAGGCCGCTAACAATGACATTGGTCTGGCAGTGGAAGCAAATGACGACAATGACGACAATGACGATGATGATGATGATGATGAGGATGATGCTAATACAGCAGCTACAGCCGGTGCTTCGGGGCTTTCTAAAAGTTTTGACATTAATGATGCTGATAAGGATACTGAGTGTGTTGCTGTTGCTGTTGCTGTTGCTGTCGCTGCAGTTAGTACGGCAAGTAAACAAAAGAGCATTATATAATATGCTGGCAGTTTTGAGTATGACAGTGCTGTGGTCATGTTTGTGGTGAGAGACGCCTTCAGTGGCATCAATTTATTCCACTCTGGTTCTGTTGAAATCCCCACCGATTGAGTTGCTATTGTGGCAGTTTTCAATGAAGTTAACATAGTGTCGATTGCTTTGTTAGTGGCACTGTTGCTCTTGCTGTTACTACTAATACAACTATTGCTGCTACTGTTACGACTATTACTATTCCTATTATAGTCACTACTACTCCTACTAGTATTAATACTGTTGCTACTATTACTTCTACTGCAACTGCTACCACTAATACTAATACTATTACTACTACTACTACTACTACTATTACTAGTATTACTACTACTATTAGTGCTACTACTACTACTACTGCTGCTGCGGCAACTAATATTGCTAATGCTGCTATTTAGGGAATTGTCACTGCAATCAATGCCGTTTGATAATGGTAATGATGACGGCGGTATTGGTAGTGGTGGGCTAGTGTATGTCATTGCAGTTGTTGTCGCACGTTGGCGCCATTTTATTGATATTGCTTTTTCTTTGCATTGTGTTGCTTTCGCTAATGTACAACATTGCCTTAATGTTAATTCTTCTTTTCCTTCTTGTTTCTGATGCTCTTGCAATGGTTTATAACATATGTCGGCACATGTGTTCTTACTGCCATTGTTAAAAGTTTCATATTCACAACTTTCTAAAATATTCAACTGCACTGTTGTTTTCTTCGTTTTCCCCCAGAAAATTGCTGCTGCTGCTGCTGTTGCAGTTTTCATAATTCCGTCGTCTTGGCAAATTTTGTATTCGTTTATTGACTGAACTGTGCTTGAAATTGTGATTGTCGCTGTTGTCGTTGTTGCTGTTGCCTCGTCGCCTTTTTCCTGTTGCAATTTTAAATCTTTTCTGTTTTTGTATTTTTGTTGCCATTTTATCATCATCGTTGGAACTGTAATGAAACGAATCGTAAAAGGAATTCTTTTGTTATTTATTACAATTTTAATATAAAGATTTTTGATATCGCTTTATATGCTATGACAAATAATAGAAAAACTTTTAGTTTTACTTATATGGTTGTATTTATAAAATGTAGTGAGAATTGCAATACATGCATGTGCATGAACACAGCAATGTACTCAAATTTCTATTTGAAAATTTTCAAAAGTATTTTTAGAAAATTAAATATGAAACATAATCAATTTTTATTCATTTTCCTTTTGAAAAGTTTCAACAATGAAATAAAGCCTAGAAATCGAAAAATTTATATTTCTTCGTGTATCTCGAACGTCATCGAGTAATAAATTTTTTTTTTGTTTTTCATCAGCTGCGTCTATCTAAAGCCAATAACAATTACGAAAATGTATATGAAATCATTCTAGAAATTTTTTACTTACTAATGAATATTGTATGCTGCTCTCAATAATTCATAAAAAATTTTATTAAAGAACAGTTAGCAAGCAATTAATGTTAACTGTTACGCAGTAAAAAGTCATTTATAAGCAATAAAATTTTTATATTTCAATGAAAGTTTTATTACATTTGAAACGTTTTTTCGCCCGTGAATAAAATAATGTGAACACATAAATACTTTATCGGCTATCGGTTAAATTGTGCGTATACATGCACGGCTGTAAGTATAGGCGCATATACGATCACAAATATAAATCGACACACACACACACACACGCACAGAGGGCTGAACTCAGGCTATTGTGGCGTACTATGATCGGCCTGCACCCACCTCCCGATATATATTAAGGGGCTAGTTGCGAATAAGCAATAAGCAGTCACAGAATAAGAGCGGTTGAAAAGGAGGGGTGATTGCATATTGAGCTCTCGATTAGCAAAGCTAGGTCCGCGCTTGGTTTTATAAAAAGGTGGTCCAAAGAGCTTGATGATCCCTACATTACGAAAAGGCTGTCCATGTGTTTGGTTAGACCCATACTCGAGTATGCCTCAGTTGTGTGGTCTCCTTCATATAGGTGCTACGTAGATTCAATTGAATCAGTTCAAAAGCAATTCTTGCTGTTTGCCCTTAGAAATTTGGGTTGGGATCCGATTGCCTCTCTTCCTTCGTATGAAAATAGGTTGCTTCTGCTGTCCCTACCGTCTCTTGAGAAACGTAGATTTGTTCTTGGCGTTTCCTTTCTAATTAAAGTAATAAATGGTGCTATTGACTCGTCTTCATTACTTGGTGAAGTAAGCTTCAATGTCCCTAACCGCTTCTCTAGGCACTTTATCTTGGTAAAGCTTAATCAGTGTAAATTTAATTATGAGCTGTTCAATCCGCTCAGAGTCGTTTGCAAGAACCTAAATGACGTCTACCACTTATTCTCGTTATCGGACTCTTTAAAGTCCATTAAAGCAACATTGCTTAATACGCGCGATTTACCTATGTCGTATTTAAACTAGCTTTCATCCTTAAAAAGTCGTTACGTTTCGAAAGTGAATTATTGTTAATTTATTATCGGTTGCCAGGCTTATGCATGTTTGCGATGGCTTAGGGGTTCATTTGCAATTTGGTCCTGTACCGGTTGTAAGTGTGCTCCTATGCTGATAGTGTACATTCTTTTTTTTTCTTTTTTCTTTTTCTTTTTTTTTTTTCTCTTCTTATTTGTTTTATTATGCTTATACTCAATCTTATTGTTAATTAATATTAGTTTTGCATTAAGAGCCTATTGAACTCGACTGCTACTTGTTTAGTTGAGTTTCTAGTATAAGTGGAATAAAATAAATAAATAAATAAATAAATAAATTGAAAAGGTCACACGATCCTGCACACGAATCTTCGGCGACAACGCGACTACTCGCTGTCCTGTGTGTAGGTGCCCTATACTCCCAGTAAGTGCGTAACAACGTGGTATGGTGATCCGCGAAATAAGCCTGTGAATAGGCGTTAAGACCGAGACAGATAAGGTATACTGGGCAAAAGGTGAGAATTGACGTAATAGGCTGGTGATGATATTCCGTTATCTGAGTAGGTACAAGTGCCATCCGGTCGAAACGGGCTCCGAACCAATGTTGTTCACGGCCGCAGTTCAATTTGCGTGGCCGGACGAGAAGATAATCCAGAAAGCGGCACAGGACCAGATCAACGGTTAGACGAATGGCGAAAGATAGGTTAGTCTGGTGTTTGTGAGCGAACCATGAAAGAAGAATCTGCAGCAGTAGGCTAATAGCCCGCAGGACTAAAAAAAATGGCTATTTGGATATGCAGTGTAGCTGCCTTACAAGATACGCACTCCAGGCGGAGCGACTTCCCCAAATTGGTCGTAGCACGAATTCAAACACACACTGGAAGAAGTAGTAGCGGATATGGACAATAAAACCCCAATTGTAACTCCAGGAAGTCGCAATTCCTGGGCGTTAACCCAGGATCAATAATGCAGGAGACTTGTGTCTTTTGGGGGTGTGCTGGCCTTCACACTTCTTAGTCGCGGGCGTAGCAATACCTTTGGAAAGCCAGGAATGATATCAAAAATTGATACCATCTTTGTTAGGCGGCATAGCAGCAAGCTGCAAGTGGTTGCTGATCGAAGCATATACAAACAGTGACCATCAGGCAATACGTCTGGGCATCAAGGTTAAAATTGTTAAAAAGGTGCAATCGAACTGAATTATAAGAATGTATCCTTCGACGAAAACCGTTTCAACTTGATTATAGAGGCGTATAAAATGAGAGAAAGTGCGGCGGATCAACTCAAGCCATTCTGCCAGGAGCGTATGACGCGTCAACGCCGACAAAGAGAAAACTTAGTAGAACGTAGAAAGATAGAGGCGTTTAGAAAAGACTGCCTAAAGGCCAGACGAAAAGGGAGGTGATCTGGATGGAGAAAGAGTCTCGTTGCTCTCGTGGCTTTACATAAAGATCTCCGTAAAGATCTAAAGACACGGATAAAAAGAAGCAAGAAAGAAAGTTTCGACGGCATATGCCAGGAGGTGGATATTAACGCATGGGCAGCGGCCTACTTTATGTAGTGCTAAAGGAAATGAATAATGCTTGAAGCTCACAGAAAGTTGCAGATAGAAAGGCTCTTGGACCGGAAAGGCAGCATTTCGAAGGCTACATTATGGGTAGGGAAGAGCTTTTCACATCGCAAGAAACAAGAAGTTGGCGAAAATTTTGCCCGAAACTCGGAAAAGACAAGGAGGAATTATTGAAGGAGAAGGAAAGAAAAACGTAGTCAGTCTTTCATTGTTATTACAGATTTTCCGAGATAAGGAATATTGTGTTGCATCTATGGTCAAAGAATTTTTACCCTTTTTCCTTCTTTTTTTTTTTTTTTTATTAATTTTTCTCATTTTTAATGTGCATTTTTTTTTTTTTTTTAATCTATTATACAAATATTTAAAAGTTGATTTTATATATATTTTAAATTATATTTTTAAATAAAAGCAAATTTTTTGGCATATATTGTTTGTACTGTATTTTAAATAAATCACTTAATATAAATCTTTATATTGTAGTGTGATCGCATACCGTTGTATGCATCCACTTTGAAGTGCGACAGAATTATGCTAAGTTTGCATAACTCTGTAAACAAAAAAAAAAAGTAAAACAAAAATTTTGTCGTACTTCAACAGGCTGGGTATTGCATTTCGTAATGCAATACGATGCCACGCGCCCTAATCCAAACAATTACTATCTGTTTACGTTAGAATAATTTAGTGTAATAATTTCTGTATAAATAGCCAGGTAAGAATCGAATAAAATCAGTTGTTATCAATCAACTCAACCTAGCGTTCAACTCGCTATTTTATTAAAGGCGTTAAATCCGCCTGAAGCATAAAGCTTATAGTTAGGGAACGTCTCTTGCCGAGCTACATTGGCATTATATGAGACGGCTAGACTTGGCGTACTGTAGCCGAGCAGCTTAGGACTAATACTGCAGTACACCATATCATTCATATATACAACATCCGTACTGTACTCAGTACTACAGATATCATCATCTAACTTTTTTTATTACAATATTTATTTTCCATGGTAAAGTGTTGTCTATATATGTTCATGACTGTACTAGCTTAGTATATTTATTTATTTGTTTTGAACGTTTCAACACGATACAAAATTTATGGTTTTATTGTACAAATAAAATAGAAAAACAATTTTTTTTTTTGCAAATATAAACATAAAAAAAGAAGCAAAAGATGTTAAAATAAACAAATAATAATAATTTTTTCAATGCAAAACACTTAATATAATTGTAGAATGAAAAAGTAACTGCTTTTGCTTAGAATTACAATTGCGTTTGGGAGCAGACTGCGGCGCAGACAGACTGCATATATACAAGATTAAAAAAAAAAAAAAAAAAAAATAATAATAATAATAATAAGAAAAGAAGAAATCGAACACATTTTTCAAATTTTTAAAGAAAAACAAACTAATTCTCCTTTTTCAATATCAATCCATTAGTAAGGAAACTGTTGACATTGCACTGTACGTAAAGACGACGTACTATAAAAAACAAAAAGAGACGAAAAAAAAAAACAAATTGATTAATGTGTTTTTAGTGCTAGCTATCGATGGTGTTTTTTTCGTTCGTGCTAAATAAATTTCGACATACGCGTTTATAACTGCATACATACACGCACGCGAACGTTTATATCTTTATAGATACATCTTTAATATATATATATATATGTAAAAGTATGTACATGTATGACTATCATGTGCAACGAATTTCCGAAGTATCTTTGGCCAAAAAAAAAATTGAAAATTTGAAAAGAGAATGAAAAAAACAAGTGATTCTAGAAGGACAACCACGCTTTATGCATAAACAGATTTATTTTTTTTGATATCACCATGCGATTAAAACTCCTGCTCGAACAGACGTTAAATCATTGATTGTAGACAGTGTTAATCCGAGAAAGCAATGTCTGCTAATAGTAGCGTGGAAAGTAGCATATTCCAGGTTAGTCGTGTTAACATTTCCTGGGCAGATTCGT